CAGATCGCGGCCAGTACTCGAACCACCGAATCATCGTAAAGACTACCTCCTAGGACCCCACCGTTGTACCCAGGATTCTTGCTACGCCACTACAATAGCTGAAGGACCCCTTATTGAGTAAGTACTTCCTTGATAGTAACCTCCCCCATCCTCCTATCCCAATACACGGACCCAATACCCTCGACGCTTGTCAAGACCCCGTTGTAGCCACTAAGTAGTCCATATATCAGACTAGGCTTGTATCCCAGAGGGCACCGTAAACACCCCCATAACCTGGGCCCCTCTTTCCATCCTCTTCCATCCGAAATACCATACCAAACCACCCCATCACCCGGTGTAGCTAGAAGACTCAGAGTCTTGGTATCACCGCGGCTGACACAGTTATGGGATTCAGTAATGCATATTTGTGACTTGAGACTACTTCTACACCCTCTACATCTATTAACCCTGTTGAGTTTCCATTCTAGTTTATTTTTTCAACACTCTAGAGGCTCAACAGCTCAAAAGTCTGCAAATTTGAAAAAAAATTGAATCTTTGGCTCATAATTTGGACACCCTCATGATCCAGGGTTGGTTTTTTCCCTCCACAACTGTAAAACACTGGTGTAAACCAACTTCACATGAGAAGAAGAAAAGTGGTTGCACATCTGGAATCCCCTTTGTGAAAAAATTAGAGGACTATGAGTGGGGAAGAGTTGGCAAAGCCAAAAGCAGACAAGTCTGAAGAGGCTATTTTGCTCCAATTGAGCAGGCTAAAGTGCACTCAATTTGTACTGAGACAAGGCTTAAGTGTTGACTCAGGACGGGAAAAAATAGCTAAGAACCAATGGTTTTTATTCCTAAAAATCTAGAAGTCTTTAAGTAATCTAGATACAAAATGATCAAATTGTGGGAGCAGTGATTGATTCATTGTGAATAGGAATGAGAACCATATTCAATACTGTTTAACAGGAAAGGAATGACGTTCTTGTGAAATGAGAGAAGAAAGAGAGAGAACAAGTGAAATTCCAACACTTTGACATGTGGGGGTTACCACAGTTTTCACAGCAACTCATTCAGGGTGAGACTCAGGAGGCTGCTTGATGGGGTCAGCCTTAGGCATGAATTGCCAAGACCTGTGCCTCCTAGGGCACTGAAATTTGGATTTTAAATAATTCTAAATCCACATTCATGCTGCAGAGTATTTATCAAATACTTTACATTTCACTGTGAAAAAATCTTGCCAAACTGGTGGCACATATGGGTTTTTAATTCTTGCAATTACACATTCTGGATTCAAGCTATATGCAACGGTGCCACAGATACGAGACATGTATTTGTATCGGATCGTATTGTATTTATTTTGAGCCTGATACCAGTATCAGTATTTCCTTGGTTGGTGAAAAAATACATTGTATCGGATTTGGATTTAAAAATGAAAAAAAAAAAATTCGTCTTCGTTTTTTTTCGTTTTTTCTTCAATACAGCCAAGTATCTTATGTATCAAATACGGTTTTGGTGGGATCAGTCATCTGAGACGATACAGAATACATTTCTCACTTTTCAAATACGATACATGTATATGTCTCAGGAAAGTGAGACAACACAAATCCGGTATTTTTGGGTATTCCAATTCTGAGACGATACAGATAAACGCCTGATACCGTATCGTATCGTCTCTGTGGCACCGTTGCTATATGGGTGTTCTCATTCAAGTCACAACTCAGGCTCCTAGATTAGCTAAGCCTCTCAATTGGACGGTTGGGGACTAACCCTGCATCCCAAAGGGACACTCTCCAAAGGAGAGGCTTACATGTAAAGTTGGGACTGTGGCCTGAGGGCATCAAATGTTGAGCCTACAAATGAGGAAAAATGTACTCAAAAATTGATTGAAAAAAAAAAAAAATGACAACTCCTTCTGATAAGCCCTGCTGTCCAGTTGCAGCTTGTACTCTAAGTGTTGGAATTTTGATCCTTTTTTAATCACCCCAAAAATCACATTCTTTTATTTCATCATCTGAAGTTCTTGTTAATCAGAATCTGATTTTTAGTCTAGTTTATGCATGTCTGACCTCCCTTCTTGTATTCAAAGAACCCTGGCGGAAAAAGGGCTTATCAGCTCTCTAGCTAAAACTTATCTTCTTGTTTTAGTACTCTCTTGTTGATGCATATCATATTGAATTGGTTTCTTTTTTTTTCTTTGATCATATTCTTTTCTGTTCCAACCACATTCTGGTCATACAGCTTGTAACTAGTCTATTTAAATCAGCTAGTCACTAAGAAATCAAAACTATTGGTTCTTTCCCATATCAAAATTGTGCCCACTCTGAGTCCCTGTGTTATATCAAGACCTGTCAAAAATCATCTCTCTTCTCTATCTCATCCTAGGTCTTAATTTCTTCCCTGTTATTTCATTTTGTGAAATCTGACCCAAAAATGGCAGCTGGATGCTGGTTTTTGTTATAAGGGCACATTGGAAACTGAATCTTGTTTTTTTTTTGACCCTTCAGATTCTGCTTTGGAAAGATTGATAATAGTCTTGCGGGTTTTTTTGGGTATTGGCTTAGCATGTTGTTTAAAAAATATGAAATCAAGCATTGAAATTGAGTTGAGTGAATGAAGCTTGCTGGAGTGTGAGATACATATTTCATACATGTATGCTTTTGGGTATGTATGTATAAAGCTCCAGCTCTATTCAAGGAGGTATTGGAGGACTTCCCGTCGGATCTGGGACCCTTGCAGAAGTCAATCTAGACCCGAAAATTCTTGATTCTCGCAGAGAAATTTGAATTTTGAGGCTCTAAACCGGCTCTGGGAGACCTGCAGATGTTGATGGGAAGTTTTCCATTAATGGTTAATTCAGGCAGATTTTCACCAAACAATTAATTATAAATCTCCCTCACTAGAAAAAGTGTTGGATTGCATGATCCATGGGCACAATAACATTAGATCCTGCCAGGCAATGTTATGACACCTTTGGGTCATGTGATTTAACACTTTTCACCTTGATTGAACTGTGGAGGACTTCCTGCTGGATCTGGGACCCTCGCAGTTTGCAATTTAGACCCAAAAAGTCTAGATTTGTGCAGGGAAATCTAGCTTTTGCGGCTCTAAATCAAAGCTGGGAGACCCGCAGATTTCAATGGGAAGTCATCCAGTATTGGGTCACATTTTCCCCAGACACAATAACATTGCACCAACACTGAAAAGACAAGACAGTATTAGGCATTTATTTGTATCATCTCAGAATTTGAATACCCAAAAATACTGTATTTGTGTTGTCTCAGAGGGTTGATCCCACCAAAAATTCCTTTGATACACATGATATTTGGCTGTATTGAAGAAGAAAAAAAAAAAGAAAAAAAAGATTGCATTTGTAAATCCAAATCCAAGATGGTGGATTTTCTCACCAACCAAGGAAATTGAAAAAAATATTGAATTGATGGCTAAAAACCAGAAGTAGACTGAAAACAAAAGAGATGAGAAAACAAGAACATAAGGAAAAAGAATCAAGAGAAAAGGCATACCACTAAGGAGATGGAAATAGTGAAGTAATAAGATGAGGACTTTGAGCAGAAGTAAGAAGTAAGATTTTGATATAATCAACCTGAGAAGATAAAAGAGACAAAAAGCATAAGTTAAAAAAGGAAGATCACGAATTTCATCAACAAACAACAAGAGAAACATGAGAGAGAGACAAAAGAAGGAAAGAGTAACAAACAGCATGTTGAAGCAGACGTGAAGATTTTAATTATTTATTTTTTGGTGCCTTTATGTAAAGTTCCTGAGTGAGTTGAGGATCAATCTTGAGGCAAGAAAGAGAAGAGACTGAGTGAGCCTGAGTGAGACAGAGCGCAGCAAGGGAGGTGAACTTTACACTGTAGGGAAAGATTGAGGGTGAGTGGAAAAATGCCAAAAGGATCTTGCGGCGTGGTTATTGAATTTGAGCAAGCTGAGAGGTTGAGTATCTTGTTGAGTCTAAGGATTACAGAGACTGACCGCAATGTCTTTTCAACTCAAAGGAAGTTCAACCCTAAGTACTTGGTTGTAATTTTGATTCTCATTGCCTTGCTGCAGATCAAGAGCTGCAGCGGGTGTGATTTGAGAGAGACATCACAGTGAAATTTCAACAGAAATCCTGATACCAGGTAGCAGGCTCAACAAAATAAAGAGAATACTTCAAGACAATACCAAATAGATGTCTTGTCTCTGTTTCAGCATCAATCACACCCCACCAGGTGATGTTCTTGCACCTGGTAAAAATCCAACTCGATATGTTTTCTAGTGCCTAGTTGCCAACTGGGTAACACAACCTGTGCTTTGTGGCTTGGCCAAGGGCAGGAAAACAGCAAGCTTTCCAATCGTACAGAGGTCAGGGAATGAATCCAAGTGGTTGTGGGGGATATTAGGGCCTGTGTCAGCCAAATGGCTGGTTGCACTCACACTAGATGTGGCACATTACATGCAAGTCCCTCCTGTGGAGGATCCTTGTGTCTCCTTGGAGGAGGTTAACTTAGCTCAGGCTCCTCCTCTATGATTCCTAAGATTGTAGGCTTTGTGTCTGAGACAGGGGGGAAGAAGTGCAGAAGTGCATGCACACTGCACTGCTTCCCTGTGCTTATTCCCCCATGATAGTGTTACACTGTGCTTGAGCGTCCAGCCAGAGGGAGGAAAGTGGGTGTGTGCCTCTCCCAACAGGGTTATGCTTACACTCTTGCTTTTGGGTCTGGGGGGGGGGGGGGACAAAGTGGTGCCCCACTTTGCTGCAACTTTATGCAGCAAGCAAAGCAGTTTCAGCATTGATGGGTTGTTTCTCCCCCCAGACATGAGGATCTATTATAGCCACCACAGAACAAAACTCTCAGCTCTTTTGTGTGCTTTTTCTAGAAGATCAAGCATGCAACAACTCATGCACATTCACTGAGACTGAGTGGGCCCATCCAACCATCTCCACATTGTGGTTAGGAATCAACCATGCACACCAATGATTGGCTGGCCAAAAGATCACCAAGTCCTTCGAATGTGGGTGAGACATTAATCAGCATGCACATTTCAAAGTGATTTCAACTGTCTGTGACATGCACAGTCCAACCTGGAAAAAAGGTATTAAAATTGAAGGATGTGAGTGGTTGTTATAAGTTTAATAAAAAAAGAAATGAAGGGTAGTTAGAATACCAAAAAAAACAAATCAAAAGCAAACAAAGGAAAAGAAAACAAAAGAAATAGAAGGTAGAAGAGGAAAGACAGAGTTTTTCATTTTTGTTGGGTGGTTGATTATAGCTGATCAGTCATTTAAAAGTAGTCCAAAAAAATATGAACGAAAGCAGGAAAGGAGGAAAAGAGCAATAATAATGATAATGAAGAAAAAAAAAGACAGAAAAGAGAAAAGATGGGTTAAGTTAATTGTTTTTTTTTATAAAAAAAAGGGAAAGAAGAGAAGAGAAAGAAAGAAAATGCATCAAAGAGAGAGAGAGAGAGAGAAAGAGAGTTGAGGCACAATTTTTTGGGAGGGGGATAAAAAGAAAGAGAGAAAAGGGGGAGACAGAGAGAGATAGTGAGGAGTTGCTACGGAAGGAAAGCGAGAGCGTCCACGGTATAGGAAGAGAGGGTAGAAGAAAGGGGGGGGGGGATGTCACATAGACAAGTCGAACCATTCGGGTGCGAAGTCGGGCTCGACTTCTTCCCAAACCTACAGAGCCAATCCCAAACAAACACACAGACAACAGAATCTCTCGAAAGTCAGTAAGAGCAGGGGGGGCGGGAAAAAAAGAATGGTGGGGACTGACGGGAGAATGGTCAAAGAGCTCGATGAATTGTTGGTCCATGTTACGCGACTTGGGGAATGCGTAGCGTCGGTATTCGTCAAAGATGGCCGTCGAGGACCAATGCTGGAGCTTCCTCAAACACCCTACTAAACATCCCGTTCGATGCTTTTGGTTTTTTTTTTTTTTTTTTTTTTGGTCAATATAATCCAGGAATTGGGGACAGATGAAGAAAAAGATGGCCGATGTGGGTCACTCACTTTTCCTTTGTTACAATGGATCAGCATCGGATGATTCCGGGTGTCCAAGACTTGACGAAGCGCTAATCTGATCTTGTCTTCGGGAACTACATAAAAAAAAAAACAAGACAAGACAACAACTTTGGTCAGTCACAGTGATCTGTTGATGTTGAAGATTAGCTACAAAACCGAATGCTTTTTTTTTTTCGTCTCTCGAGAGCGAGGGGACTTAGTACACTTACTATGTACAAACGGTTCCTAGAAGGGGAAACGAAAGAAATGGGGGAAGAAAGAAAAAAAAGGTGGTTGGTTGGTTTTTTTTTTCTTGCACAAAGGTAAGAGACCTCTCCCCGCATGAAATCCCTCATTTTTTTTTTTTTTTTTTTTTTTTGTAGACACCACTCGTTTTATACTTCTCTTGTCGATGCCAAGAAGCAAACAAAACTAACTTTGTTTCCAGGGATGGGATACTGAATCAATTTTATCCCGACTCTTTCGTAGTGTTTAACGAGCTCAATAGGGTAAGGTTCCTGAACCAAAGTTCTAGTTCAGCACAAAAAGATTCTTGTCAGTATTTTATTGAAAAAAAAGAGGGTTGAGGAAAGCTTACAAGATTGTCCGTAATTTGAGTTTAGCCAAGAATTCAAAGTTTTCAGGTTTAGGAAAGCTCGAACGAAATAAACCGGGAGCGACGATAGCGAAGTTGGGCGGGGGGTTGAGTGGATGAGGGGAGGAGAGGTTGAGGAAAGGGTGAGTGAGTGCAGGCCCGGGGAGGAGGAAGATAGGCTGGGTAGTTTTGGTGGTGTGTTGTGGGCTGGGTAGTGGTAGTGTTGAGGCTGGTGGGACTGATAGAGATAGAGATGATGAGAAGCAGATCGTTGGGGGGTCGGTTTCTAGTGGTTCTAGGGTTTGGTGTCGACAGAGAGATGGGGATGAGGATGAGGATGAGGAGGGGGAGGAGAGTTGGGAGGATGAGGCTGATGAGGCTGATGAGGATGAGGCTGATGAGATTGATGATGAGGATGATGAGGATGAGATGTTGGTTGTTGTTGTTGTTGTTGGTAAGGGGGTGAGCCAGGGTAAGCGGTGATGGTCGTTGTTGAAGTTATTAGGCTGGATGGGAGCGGGTAGGGCGGGCATGTGGGCGAGTGTTGGGGTATTGTTATTGTCCTCGTCGGCGCAGTTAGGTGGAGTGGTAGCAGTGGTAGTCGTGGTGGTCGTAGTGGGGGTGCTTGGGGTGATGGTTGAATGGCTGGGGCTGGGTAGGATGAGTAGGGAGGATGCTGGGTGGGATGGTGAGGCTGCGAGTGACTGGTTGTTGGTGGCCATCGTTGGTGGGTTTAGGATGGTTTGGTTTTTAGAGAGTCATGGTGTTCTTATGTATATTGCTGTGGAGGGTCGATTCTATTTCGATATTCTCTTGATGTGGGTTTTTTTCTTTTTTTTTTGAGTTTTGGGCTGGATGATGATGATTAGCTTGTTGACCAGTCGGATTGAGAATCAACCGAGTTTGTATTATGCATGGCCATGAGGGATTGTCGAGCAAGCTGCAGTGGTCAGCCATCTTCAGCCAACTGGCACCTCAGGCTCGGACACCGGCGGCGGCCAGAGCACAACAGTACATGCACAGGCTTCAACCCCACTCGATTTCACATCCCATCACAGCAACCTGTCACAGGACCATCAAGAACAGCAGCACCGAAATCAACCCAAATCATCCTTCAACCGGCATCGATCAGACAGCCATCTCTCTCAAATCGAATCAGTACATAAATACCAGGCCCATTCCGACCATGTAAATAAATATGTATTCAGGCCCACTCACATCATATCTCATATCCAACTCAGCCCCATTTTTTGCTCCCAGACATATAAATTACCAAATCATTCTGCTCATCCATCACCACTACAGCAACCACCATCCAGCTCCTCCAACATCTGACTGAGCTGCAACTGAATTGGTTCTATGTTGTACATAGAGCCCACTGCTCCTCCATCAACCATCCTGCCCCCATCCACAGCCCCATCAATTGCTGATCAAAAAAAAAAAAAAAAAAAAAAAAATCTGAAGATATATCATCCATACAATCTATATTCTGTTCCTCCCTTAACAATCTTCTAACAAAACACATCTCAATCTCCTTTATATATATGTGCTATCCAAATCTGTTGGAATTTCACTCGCTCTCTCTCTCTTTCTTATTCAAACCTGTCACTCCTTTTTTATGTCACTCATTTTCTATATTCATTATGCATTGTTGTTTGATCCCACAACCTGTGCTCCTTGTATCTAGACTACTTAAACTTACAAGATACAGGGATAATGAACACCATCGGTTCTTAGCTATTTTCTTCCGGTCCTGAGTCGACACGTGAGCCTCCTCTCAGCCTTAACTCAAGCGCACTTAAGCCCGCTTTGTTAAGTTCAAATAGCATCCTACAGACTTTGTTCTGCTTTCGGCATTGCCGACTTTTCCCCTCTACGCTTTAAATTTCTTCAAAATCAATCAAGAAAAAAAAAATATGTGGGCTTTCAAGAATCCACAAATGGGAGATCAGATGCATGCACTTTCCTCAGATCAAGATCAGTACACTATGACTTTCTGTTGGGAATCTTCAGCTGGGTGACAACATCCAAACAAGACTGTCCAAGAGAGTCCCTTAAGACTATAATTGGTATATGTCTGCAAACCAACCAATCAGCTAGAATTAATTAGGCATATGAGGGGGTATCAAATATAAGAAATTTGAAAAATTAAAACTCCATTTACTCTTGAACTAAAACGTTTTTTTGCAAGGTGTGCTGTGATGAATTTGAAAGGCAAATATGTGCTTCTTTCCAAAATACATCCATCAAAAAAGGTGGTTTTGTTTAACAGATAATGAGGTTTTAAGATTTCAAATTTTCCATATTTGATACCCCCTATGGAATTGATATTTTTCATCAATAGAGATCCTCGCAACCAGAGCGCTCTACAAATACTCAGCATTAATCTAAGTAATCATCCTCACTACCCTCAGATGTCAGCTGTCAATCTTGCGTCTAGAGATCAAGCTGGACAAAATTGGTGGTAGTAATAAAATACATTATTACTAAAGAGAAGACTAAATACAAAGGGATAGAGAGAAGAGGAATAGAAGAGTTATTTTTTATTTTTATTTGTTTATTTAATTGTAGTTCTTATATTCTTGAAGAATATATCATAGCCAGTAAGGAAACACCTAGGCCTCTGATCCTAAAGGTAGGAACAGGATCAATCAAATATGTGTTGATTGTGATAGTTTTTTATCCACTTAAATAACATGGAAGGGTTATTAGAATCAAACCCAATCATTTATTTATTTACAAGGGCATAGCCCCCATTTTTGGGGTCAGAGAGGGGGTTCAAAGAAAAGGGGGGGCAGGCATCAATAAGAGAGTTGTTTTAATTTTGAATTTTTCTGAGCAGAATAATGATAAAGATAGCATCAAAATGATCAGTTTAATATAGATGTGAAAGAGAATTTGAAACAGTTTTGGATTTGTTTTCATGATCAAGGCCCTTGAAAATATATAAGAACCTTGTGAAAATATGGAAATGGTAAAAAGAAATTCCAATTCCAATGTAGCAAACAATCATAGTAATCAAGACCAAAAAATCAGCTTATTACTTCTGGTCAGTGGCAATTGGTATTTCCCTAAATGACCAAATGATATAGTGTAATTCAAATTTGGGATGTAAGATTATGTGATGCCTTGTATATTTTTCCAATCTGTGTATTCTTGAGACATTTTTATAATATTTTCATTTATTCCATCATAGTGCATGGGGATTCAGAGAGCTTCATTGTTGATGATATTGATAGCTTTTGTGGACTTGAGCATGTTTAGTATAATAGTGGGATTCAGAGCTGAGTGCAAATGCCTTGCAAAAGGGTTTGCAAGTCAATCTGCACAACAAAGCATGCATTTTCTGTTGGAATCAACTGGGTCAGAGTTTGAGGTTTGTGGAAGGATCAATTGCATTAGCTCAGAAAGAAACAAACATCAAAAGAGAAACAGAAAGAGAAAGGAAGAGAAAATGAGAAAAAGAGATGACTGCATACCTGGGTCAGAGTTTGAGGTTTGTGGAAGGATGAGGAGAGAAATCCTTCCACGTACTCTGGCCCAGGTATACTATGAATCTTGTGACATGTGAGTGAAACTGAGATGAAAGGTGAGAAGCACACAAAAGGAGAAGAAAAGAAAGACTGAAAGACTACTCCAACATTTTCAGCTCCCATTACTCATTATAAGGTTAGATGTGGCTAGTAGAGAGCCATTTCTGAAAATCCCCATGCATGAGAGTGACTTGCAAAATTTTTTGCAAGTCACTTGCACTCAACTGTGAAACCCCCTAATATATGAAGCTTGTGGAATCACTCATTGGGAATTGTTTTACTTTTTTTGGGAAGTTGGAATTAAAAAATTGTGTAACATCCTTCAATTTCTTTGGCTATTGTGTATTGCATGGAAGAGTGTCCTATCTCTGATTCTAGTCTCTACCCCCTGAAAATCAATCTTATGTATAGGATCTGGTTTTGTACTAATTAGCTCTGTTTTGAAGGGGTTTTTTTGTATAGTTCTGTTGTATTGATGCTTACCTCTCAGTATATTTGTTTTGTATTTCTGCCTGAATATCATTTTAAGGGGTGTGTATTCCAAAAAAATCAGTTCCCAATAATTGAAAAAAATTGCCTCCAAGAAAAAATGTACCAAACTGGAAGCAGCCAAAAAGTGGGCTACTCCCAATGTAGCATGTTTTATAGCTACCAAAAACACCAAAGTACAAAATTCTGCAAATTCACTGTGAAATGTGCACATTGACAGCATTTGGTTTGTTTTGAATTAAATGTTAAGTGAAATCTAAGGAAGAAACAAAGTTTGATATTTGTCTCTGAAATAAAACTGAGAGCATTTTCTTAATATTTTTTGTATGAATAAAAAGAATGTACTTATGTAAATTTGCAGATGGCATAAACCAACCCTGCCCTGACCACAAAATATAAAAAACAACACATGGGCCCTTTCCCGGGGGGGGGGGGACAAAAGCAGTGTTACTTATCTTTATTACAATTTTGAACTTGCATGGGTTTTTCAAGTTCCAAATTAAAAGTATTAAGGATTTGGTCAATTGGTTCAATGTTTTTGATTCTTGCATGCATATTATCAGGCAAGCATACATAAATTCATATACTCAAACCCATAGCTATGGGTTGAAGTCTGAATATTAATGAGAGTATACTACCTCTCTCACCCTTAACTTCTAATTTCAGTGTGGGTTTGTTGTTCTACTGTATGTTTTTAACATTCTAGAGTCTGAAAAAGGCTGAAAACAATTGCAAATTGTGAAAATAAAAGACAAATTCTTGGATTTTCAGCTCTAAAATCATGCTATTTCTGGGAATGTATTATCCTATCTCAAAATGAAATTCTGTCTATGATTTCTCCAATTTGGCTGTAACTTTGTTAAAAGAAGATTGATTTATGTCAATGTGGCATGATGGAATCAAGATTTAAGACCAAGCACTCACAAATGAGGTGTTGGAATTCATTCCTGAATAATGAAACCAAAATCAAAAGCTTCCTTACAAAGGATTGATACCAAGGTTCACAAATCTTAATCAGGGAGGTTGCATTGTCATTGGTTGTATACCAAGACAATAGTTGAAAGCTCAGCAAAGCCAAGGTTCATTCTGAAATCAGAGCAAGTTTTTTGAGGCTCAGGTTCAGCAAGGTGTACTTTTCACATACTTTTCATTATTTTTCAGAGTTTTATTTTGTTTGAAAGTTGTTGATAATGATACCTTTAACTTTAAATGTGAAAGGGAATGAGCCCTTCACTTTTAGGGAGCTCTCGCTGTTGGCTTCTGAAGGAAGTGGTCATGATATGTATTGTTTCTAACATCAAGGTTGACGGAGCTCTCGCTGTTGGCTTCTAAAGGAAGCAAACATGATATGTACTGTTTCTAATATTGACGCCGGTGTTAGAAGCCGCATGAGAAAAGTGTCAAAAAATGAAGAAAAAACAACGCCGGTGTTAGAAATGAACTGGGTTTGTTTGGCCCTCTGAGGCTATTTGTTTAGTTATATGTAGATTTTTTGATAGTTCATTTAAGATATCATTATTAAAATGATCCAAAGAAAAGTAAAAGATGAGGAATAGTAACAGTTTAAAGAGGTTGGCTTGGGTGATCTGAAGATAGAGAGAATAAAGCACAAGTCAATCAAAATTTCTTAAGTCAAACTATTTTGTAGATAATAAAAATAAGAAAGGGTTAGATAAAATAAGACTATCGGAAAAGGTTAGTTTCTGATGAGTTATTCTAAGTAATTTTACCTTTTATTTTTGTATCTCAAGAATAGTTATGAGAAGTAAGAAGTTTTATTATTTGCTGAGGAGGGAGGAAGGACTGTTCCGGTCTCTGGGGTTGACTATTTTGTACCAGTCCTTCTTCCAAAGCTTGGTATTGTTTGCATTGCTTTGATTTGATCATCTTGCAAGGCTGAAGTAATCTTTTTTGAAGATTGCTTTTAATATTCAAAGGATTTGGTGTTCTTTGATTAATCTTAATTTCAAGAG